ACTGTAGAGTCCAATTTGCCCTGGAGATATAGTGCTTCTTAAAGGACGTGTCGTAACCTCCTGTCTTCTAAATGCAACAATGGCTGAAGCTTTTAGAAAGACTGGTAAGTAAACAGCTGTTATTGCTAACGTTGGCTTGTTCAATAGCAAATCTTACAAATAGCTCCTTTAAACACACCAAGTCATATACATCAGGTACACACTGAATACTCACAGTCATGATTGTCTCCAGATATTATATTGTGTTCTAAATTCTGTAACTTTTTCTGACTTTTATTTAATCTTTACTTTTTTATGGAAGACCTGATATGTTCGCCTCCTGAGCCTATAAAGTTATTCAACTGAAACAATTCCAATAGAGAAACACTCTTGGGTCACTTCATTTCAAGGGGTCATGATGTAAAAGTGTTAGGAACTACTGCTCTAAATATTTCAATATCTCAAGGTGACATATTCAAGAGTAAGTAAAAAAAACACCAATAACAAAATGCACCCTGAACTACATTGCCCTTTTATTGTCCTGCATGTACATGTGCCTGTACTCACCCCCAGAGAGTGAGAGTGACACAAGTTTCACACACATGCACTTACAAACATGCAAACAGACAAAGTCTGGAGCATTTTAACAGTTTGCAAAGTGTTGCAGAATTGTGGTGTAACTGCAGGCCTCGGTGCAGACGAGCGTGCCTGAGCAGTGAGATCATGAGCGGGGAGAGAGGTGGCATAATGAAATCTGGCAGTCACAGCCCCGGCACAGGCTTCATATGTTCCACATTAGCAATTCACAAACCTCTGGAGCAGGCCCCAGCAGCCCTTTTCTCACTCCGCCTTAGTCGCTTATGACAATCTGTCACTGGCTCTTTGTGCTCTCTCAGCGGCGCGTCGATGAGAAGCGCAGTGTTTATGGAAGAGTGTTTCGTCCTCGGCTGCGGGTGACACTCTGTTAGAGCAGAGTCAGTGAACCCTCACAAGAGCAGAGGAGGAGCTCAGGTTTAGCCGTCAAGACAATAAACTCACAATGCTGAGTTGACAACAAAAGAGAAAGAAGAGAAATTGTTTGTGTATTATCAAAACCCGAATCAGAATTGTGAGTGACAGCTCAAATTCTCCCAAAGTATCACATCACATATGTTCAAAAGCACAGTGAAGATCCTTTGTGGTAAAACTTTCATTACGAAAGGAGATTAACCAATAAGGATATTGCAAATGATATGCTTTAGGCTTTATCCTCCCCTTGTCCTCCCCCTTCTTTTGAAATTATTCAAGTGTCCAATAAAGGACAAGGCAATTACCATCCTCTCTTTAATGAAGGAGAAGCTGGCTTTTGGTCCTGAGCACGGTGTATTTGTACTGAATTAGAATTAATGAGCCTGGTCAAAGTTTGCTTCTAATTGCCCTTTCATTAAGACCCATTTGTAATCATGTCTTAATGACTTCCATCCCTTCTCCTGAAAGAATAAAAAAGGAAAAATTTAAACCTGAAATTAATAACGCTGCTCGGAAACATTGCACTGGACTCATTAAAATGTTTGAGAAGAGCTCTGATGACTTGGTAAAGAGCTGTGAAATTTCCTCCATTGTATACATTTCAAAAGATGCGTTTCAAAAAAGTTTGCAAACTATGAAACCCAGTGTTCCCGAATTCCTGACTTTGAGCATTTGATTGGCTCAGATGACTTAATCCCTCTCACTTTGCCAGTGGTGGTTTACCATATGCAACACACACACATGATAAACTGTCGTGATTACACTTCCCTTAGGAATGCCGGGGCTGCTGTGGTGTGTGGCTGCAGTGGGAAGGTAAAAAACTGTGACTCGTGTGTTGGCTTCCTATGTGCCTTGCAGCTGTATTCTGTATTAGAAGACGAGAATACCCCTGAATATCCAGAAGAGCAGGGGCAATTTAGTCCCGGAGTAAACAGTAAGGAGTCCCCACAGGAAACGCTGGAGATGGATTGCAGGATGGAGTCGCTCCCCCTCTCTCCTTCGCCCTCTGTTCTTTGCGACTGTATACATTCCCTCCAGTGACACGGGGCTGTTTGCCTTGCTAATGGAGAGCTGCGCTGGCGTAAAAGAGGTGGCAGGCTCTATTTAGATAGGGCCATGGTAAAGTAAACTTCTGAGTTAGATTTAAATAAACCTCGGCGGAACGGTTTGCCATGCGGCAAAGTCATGGGCCATGGCGAGAGGAGGAGGGAGGGAAAGAGTGATGAAGGAGCGAGAAGAAAAAAAAAAAAAAAGAAAGAAAGAATAAGAGTCCAGTCTAGGCGCAGCGCTGTGCTGAGTGAGGAGCTCCAGAGACATAAACATAGGGGGGGATCTGGGTAATTCAATGAGGAGTGGCGGATGTGGGAATGAAGGTGTGTGTTGCAGGGGTGAAGGGGTGGAGTCTAAAATGATTTCACAGTTTGTAATCTCTACAGTCATCCCCCATTGCCCAACAGGACAGAGGTTAGTGTGATGTTCCTGCGATGTGGGCAGGGATCAGTAAGAACATGAAGCCTTTACTCCCATCAAGCTGCAACACAGTACGTAGACCCCGGTAAAACCTGAAGGTTCATTTCCGACTCTGACAGCCGAGGGCCGACAGCCCAGGAGTGGAGCTGTGGAGAGTAAACAAAGCAGATTCTGCACTTGTCTAACACCAAGCCAATCTCTCCATCCCAGCATCCCCTCATCCCTCCCTCCCTCAGCAGCTCTGGAATCAGCTGAGGTGAGCCAAGCCAAAACTGAGTCATCAGGAGGAAACTATTAAACAGACAGAGACAGAGTGGTCAGATAGTTGCCAGAACTGTATGGAGGAGGCTTTTTTACTACTCATCTCTGCTATTGTGAGGACAGGATGAAACCCCTCGAATGGTTTCTGGTTTCTTTTTAAAGTTTTCTTTTCTCTCTTTGAGCACATTAAAAAACCCTAATTTGATCTAATATTGCTCTGAGTGGTATTTCAGGGTGTATAACGATCAACAAGAAGTTTGTTTGTGCAAAAAAAACAACCCTCCTTTTACAACAGTTTCCTATAAAAGACTTCAAAAGATTTGCTGTTATCTGCTGCATCAACATTAAAATACTAACTGTTACAAGGATGTCCGCCTCTTTGCTCCAGGTGTGTGGGTCAGTGCAGAGAGCATTAGTCGTGGCGTCATGTGGTACCAGTATTTTAGGCTTTAAAGGGCACTCCACCAGTTTCACATGCCAAAGTCAATGTACTACTCACCAGGAGTACTACAGCCTGTGAAAACAACTGTGCAGTTTTGTCTGTGGCATTAAAAAGAGCTTTCCAAAGTCTCAAAAAAAAATTACTCAAGTTACATCATCCGGCTGTCACAGTTTTAATTTTGGGACTACACATTTTCTTTAAGGGAAGGCCTGTGATACAAATTTGACACTTTGTCTTTTGCAAGTTCCCCACCTTTACGGACGTGTAATACTAAATCCCTGGAGTGGCTCTTTAAGTCTCGTATTCTAATGCCGCAGGATTACAAACAACACCAAACTGATCCTCTCTTAATTACCTCCGCCAAGGTTATGTTTTCAGCCGGCGTCTGTCGGTTTGTTTGTTTGTCAGCAGGATTAGTTAAAAAAGTACTTAACCGATTCGCACCGAACCCGGTGGAGGGATGGGGGCACGGACCAGCGAAAGAACCCGTTCAATTTTTGGGGCAGATCCGCATCATTTGCTATGAATTTGACTTTTTTTTTCTCTTTAGTCCGGTGCATGTTGGTTGACATTGGCCTTGGCGGAGGTCCGCTCTCTCTGACTGCCCCCTCTATTTGGCCCAAGTTGGCAGTGATCATCCCAATGAAAGAATGAGTGATGAGGTAAACAGACCTGAGTGGTGCTGGGGGATCAACACCTGCTGCGTTGCCCAGCAATGCAGCTGTGTTTGGCATGGACCGACACATATAGAGCTGTCGGGGCACCCCATCGTTTGGCCATCTGCCCTCTTGGCACACGCTTCCAAATGTTTACAAGCAAAAACACATAGCTAGCAGCCTCAGAGACATGCTGCGTGAAGGTATGCAGATGCTGACACATGCTTTGCCTCAGGGCGTTGATGTGCAACTTGGCAGTGGTCTCCGTAACAGATAATAAAGTGACATGTGTTCTGGCGGTGAGATGTGTTTGTACAGTACGTGAAAGAAGGAGTGATTGATTTATTTCTGTGTGGACTCGGGGAAAAAAAAGTGTAATAGTCATCTGCTGTTTCTGTTTTTCTGCAGAAAGTTTTAACTCATTTCAGTTTCACACCTCGACCCTCAGGTACGCAGTGCGAAACTCCCGCTCATGGTTTTTGCCCGTTGCAACTTGTCCAACAATGGATGCACAGTTGCGACACAAAATTCCAGCCTTAGTTTTTAAGATTATGGTGCGGAGTGCAGCTAGAAGTTAGAGGATGAGTGTGTACGTATGTGAATTGAGCCTAGTGGCGGCACAACGGTTTCAATTTCAGGGGTAAAAATAGAGAAAGGCTTGGAAGCTCATATTATGCAAATGTTTTAATGTTTTATCTGGAGGGGGAAAAAAGCAGCCTCTTGATTCTCTCTGGCAGTTGTGACAAAACACTGAAACGGAAAAGGATGTTTTTGTTCTCGTTTTGTACGTTTCATTGGTTGTACTTAAACATTATCCTTTGTACAAAACCATATTATGCTTGGTACGGTGAGAAATGTGCCATTTGGCCGCCTTTCTTACGCTTCTTTATCGCTGTTTATTTTGAGTTCTGTCAGCCTTGAGACATTTACAAAGACTTCCTCAGCGAACATTTTTGGAGCCGTGCAGCTTTTAGTTCAGAGCATTTAATGAGGTCTCACTTGGGTGGGTCTGCTGAAAGATAGCCATCAACCACTGCCTTTCATTATAGCTGCTATTTAGATTAGCCGAGGAGGGAGTGAATTCACATGGCAGTATGTTTCAGAGGAACCAGTCATCTTACAGAGTGTAAAGAAATAAGAAATCATGTTTCATGTGTCTTTTCTCTTCCTGTTATTCTTCACAGCTGCACCGCAGTTCTTCCCTACCTTCCATCATCCTGTGCCGATTGACGACAGACATGCCCAGGGACGTTACATCTACGAGCCTTCCCCTGTGCCCCCTCTTCATGTGTAAGTCTCTCAAACTGGTCACACACACACACACACACACACCCACAGCTGAAAATATTGCTGATCATACCTGAGAGAACATTTGATTCAGCCGCATCACACGCTCCCCACCTATTAATGCCGATACAAATCAAGCCCCCTAAACTACCTTCCTCCTGTGGGCGTGGAGCATCCTCCTCATGGGTGCCGGGCGCCTCTCTTTGCCTTTCAGGATCAAAGGCCACGGCCCTGTACGCGCGCAACATGATCCGCGTGTCAGAGACACGCAAATGAACATGTGTCAGAGACATGGAAATGAGAGCAGGGCGAGGGGAGCCTGGGAGCATGCGATTCTCATAAGAGCAGTGATCAAGCCCTGTCAAGAGAAGGAAGCAATGCCTCCGCTGACATCGAGCCATCTCTGACAGACACAGATGGGCTCCTCACACATGAACTGTACACAACTAACCACCCCGCCTCATCCAATCACATGCGTATACAGACGATCAAATATGAAGTAAGGTAAAAAAAAACGTGGTGTCATGCCTCGTAAGAGAGTGGTAAGTATTTATAAGCATTGGGATCTCTTATTACAGTAGTCTCCTGTTTTCCCTGGAGTGCTCCTGACTGGCCGGGGTAGCAGAGAACTTCAAAGCTCAGCATCCCCTTACACACACACACACACACACACTCGTGCTCACTCGCGTTACATTTAGTCACCCTCTTTCACACTTTCTGTCTTTTTTTTGCTCTTCCCGTCGTTTGTATTCTTTGCGTCTAAACACTAAGTACCACAAGGAGATGCTTCATCGTCCTTGTGGCGCTTGTTTCTTACCCGTAGACACGAAGGAAGCGATCAGCGCGCGACGAGGACAAATTGGATGGGGCAGCTACTTGGGCCGCATTATGTTTGATATTCTTCATCATTATCAACTCCCCCCTTCCTCTCCTCAGGAGTCATATCTCTCCCTTGCTGATGTGCCACTAAGCGTAATGAATTTTTTATGTCCCCCCACCACCATCACCACCTCCAGCCCACCCCACCTCTCAACCCCTCGTCTCCTGTTCAGGGGCTGCAGCAGAGAAAAAAAGGTTGGGGGGGGGGCGAGGAAATAAAAAAGGGACGTGATTGATGCCCCGTGTCACTGCAAACAAAATGGCAAATATAATTTAGCATTTAGCTTATGCGGAGATAATGGGGCGAACACGCGGCGCCAACATAGGCTCGAACAAACAGCCTGGCTTGTTATCCGTCAAGAGCGCTTTGGTACGATCTGGAGCGCAGGTTAGGGAGGGAGGAGGGAGAGAGGGAGGAGAGAGAAATGAGGAGGGGGTGGAGGGACAACATGGAGCCCGGGAATTGAATTAAGGGGGAGAAGTTCCGCAGCGCCGGTGTCTTCAGTCACTCTGTCCGGACAGGAGTTATCTGTACGCTTGGTTTGCTGTCATTGGAGACATGGCCGTGCTCTGCCATGCTACTTATAGCCTATTTATCCAAGCCATTAAGCATAGAGCTGTTTAATATGACACGTTACGCTGAGGGGAACTATTTGTCATTATTATAAGACAGCTGTTTAGCGGCCGGGCGTATTTAAATCAAGTCTGTGGACTCACTGTCATGCACGTTATCTATGAACTTACGTGGGCTCCATGCAGAAAACCCAACTACTTTTGAGTCTTTGCGCTGGGAAGCAGCAATATTGCCTGCTTGATTAAAAAAGCGGCGCTGAATTCCTCCTTGGGTAGCAGCACTCATCAGTTGCGGTATTACAGCTGGGTCCAACCACCTGATGGCAAATTGGAGTTAATTGCACTCCCAGGTTCGGCTTTTGTGCAAGTTTTTTTGCTGTGGCCCAACTTTACGAGGCAAAAGCATAAATCTCTCTGAAGATTTGAAAGTGATGCATTCGGCTCGGTGACGCTGCTTGTAGCCGGCCCGAGGAAATAGAGGCAGTCAACGTATAGCTGTCGCCTCGGGGAAATGGAGGACAGGAGCCGGCTTATGGAGAAATATTGAATTGTTTTAAGACAAGTTTTCCTCGGTGAGCAGAATTAATCGTTATTAGCCCTCTCAAAGATATGCCTAAGTACACAGGGACTATTATTGCAGTACTTCCCCATGCAGCCTCTCATTACGGCCTGTAATTACAGTTGGGTTGGCCCTGCGGCAGTTCCATCAATCCAGCCAGCCCCCCCCCCCCCCCCCCCCTCTCGCCGCCGCCATGCACACAAGCCAGTCACCACTGGGCATCCGTGGCCGGAGCACAAGAAAAGAAAAAAAAACACCCCGTAAGCTTGTTTCCTCTCTGCCACAATGACACATCCACCATCCATACGTGGCAAATGAACAGAATCATATCCTATTACTGTGAAGGACCTAATTGAAACATGTTTATTTATGGCCCCCGTTTTCAGATGAGGAGCGGGCATTAGCCGCGCAGCTAACAGGCTCCAGCGATATGAGGCGGTGGAATTAAATTAAAAGCTCATAAAATGAAATATGCTCTGTATTAGCTGTTTGACACTTAATTTGCCTTCAAATGAGCAGAGGAAATCACAAATTAACTGTCCTTTGTTTTTTTCCCTCTTTACCTCACCTCCCCTATTAGGCAAGGGAGAGCGCAATTACAGACAGAGGCTAATCGTTTAGTTTATGAATTCTTGTGGGGAAGGTACCAATGTGCCATTCAATATTAAAGCCTCAGGGTCAGGAGGGGGTGGGGGTCCCTTCTTGTGGGTGCTTGATTTACTGACGAACTCGTATATTCACATGTAGGAGCGGCACTTCTTTTTTTTTGTTTTATTTTTAGAGTTTCTAACTGAAGCAAGTGAACAACAAGCTTCTTCTGAGTTTCTGTTCCCTTCCAACTGAAACAAAGCCTTAACGTCCTGCACTGATCCAGGACCAGTGATGGAGGTTTTCCACCCTGAGGCCAGTGCTGGTTCTCTGCGTGTCTCTGGTCTGGGAACAGCTGACCTCCAGCATCAGCAAACAGAGAAAAAAGCCTACTCCAAGAGAAGATGCTTCCTGCTTAAATAAACACATTGATCGGTGAAGAGCAGGCTCTCCATGGGAGCTCTGGTCCCCTTTGCCACTGCCATTGTGCAGGACTGGCTTAATGGGAGTTTTTGAGGGGGGGGGGGGCAAAGAGAAGAGACAGCTCCTTTCATTCCAGCTTTATTGCCTGACCATAGTACACAGCAAAACAAAACAGCCCTCTCATGTGGCTCAGCGCCGGCTCTCGGTCACCCGGAGACCGCTCGGAACAAACAGAGGTATTCGTCACAAGTCAATTATCAGCATCGGAGTTTACTCCGGAGTCCCGGGGCCCTCGTGCTGTGAATGGGGCCACAAAAACAACAAAACAGTCTTATGGGATAAGCAATTGACTCACAAGCTTTTGCGTGGTTGCCGTATGTGGATTTAGGAAGGAATTAGTCAAAATGCCAGAGTCAATATAAGAGTTTATAAAGTTGGGAAACAAAAAGATATAACCCGAGCATTGAGTCTCTGCTTTCTTTCTGTGTGATCGGTTATTAAATGAAATTTGAGATGTTTCCAAAAGTAGATAACTTGTTGAAGCATATCAGAATGTTAGCAAATGCAAAATGTAAAGAAATAAAGTAAAATATAGACGTATATGACTTTTTCTACTTTCTACAAGCCATGAAAATAATGCATTTTTCCTTTTTGAATTATATGTATGTCTAAATATATAGATAAGGACAGTCACTGTGTCATAACTGCTTTAATTGTAGATGCCTAGTTCAACTTCTATTTGAAAGGAAAGCTCTCAGTGTTTCTCTCAGGAAAGTCAGGGCCTGTATTTTCTGTCACTGTGGAGGTAGAGGGAAGGTGGGGGCTGCCAGGGTGTGTTTCCGTGTTCCCAGCCTGTGTGGTTATTTCATTCAGGAGTGTGTTTGTTCAGCTGCGGGCCCGGCCTGACTGGAAGGTATTCTGCGTGAGCCCCTTGCCTCAGAAGCGTCACTTTAATCTAAAGAGCCACCAGAATGGAGAGAATCACCGTGCTCCCCTCTGATTTCCTGTTTGTTTTCTGTAGGAATCTGCGATTCTCACCAATTTTACACTGTTTCTGTACAACACCTCTCACACGCTTCCCCCTCGCTGTCCTTTCTTTTTCTTTTTTTTTTTTTTTTAAAGATGTGTTGACTGTTGTTTTGTTATTTACATAAACTGTTGTCAGAGCGCCCAGTCTGGGCATAGAGGAGCGGCATGTTGCTTAGCATAAAGACCACGGTCTTATCTCAACACCTCCTTCCAGATGGGACGAGGCCGAGCATTGCTACACACACACACACACACACACACACACACACACACACACACACACACACACACATACACAAATACAGACACACACATACAGCAAAACAATAGAAAGACAAAAGCATGTGGTATAGCTTTCATAGAAGCAAGGGGAATAGTGTTTTATAAGTGTACCGCTTCATCAGTGGCTGTTTATGGCATGATCTGACTCTGCTGTGTCAAGGCCTCTATTGACAGTTGATATTTCAGGACAGACCTCATGACAGTTTTTACATATTTTTGTTCTTTGTCAAACATGTACGACACATTAGCTGGACTTTAGTAACTATATATTTTTTGTAACATAGCAAGCAGCATTTCTTCAGGTTGTCAGTCATAAAAAAACGACAAAAAAGAACGGCCTATTCACATTTGAATATGGTCTAGACTAAAGCAGAATGTGAAGTGAAGCCATAAATTACATTAAGAATTAATGATTATTTCATAATCGCATCTGATAATCTCTGTCCAGATATGGCTGCTGTCACTGAGAAGCAGGGGGGAGAGAGGCGAAGGCCACTTTTTCATCTTCCTCTCTAACTGTCCAAAACCCATTCTGTGTGACTTCGTAGGTCACCCCCTCTCCGGTGCAGTCACTGGTTTTCCCTCCATCCCCGCTCTCTCCCCCTCTCTCCCCCTTTAATACTTTCTCTATGGAGTAAGTCGGGGGGACAGGCGGTCACGCAGTAGCTGG